CCCCCCCAACCCCCCCGCTGTTTTAAAGCCATCCATGCTAGCAATAAAAAAGGAAGCATCATGTCATGAAAATGTTTGCAGTGAGGGAAAGTTGTGCAGATCTTTTTGTTTCCAATTGGGGGGCCCAATCCCCTCGCTGTTTTCAGGCCGCCATGTATGCAACAACAAAAAGTATCATGCCATGACCAGGTTTGCAGTAAGGGAAGGTTGCGCGGCTTGCTTTGTTCGTGCTTGATATTTTCAGACTATATCTTAAACCAGGCCTTCAATGATATGGTGATACTTTTTGAGTTCCATCCTTCCGTATCAACCAGCAAGTAAGCTGGAAATATCAACCCCGCACCTAACCCTGATGCGTACTCCCAAGTCCAAACGCCCACGCCTTTCCCAGGGAACTAGTTGAAGGATTGGAACGTTGCAAGGCCAGCAGATGTTGTAAACTACAGCATGTAAAGCTTTCCAAGAGCAGCAGACGCTGTCATTACATGTACAATTTACAGCATTTGAAATATTCCAAAACCAGCAGACACTGTAATTCTTTTGAGATGTTCCAAGACCAGCAAATGCTGTAATTTGCAGCATTTGAGACGTTCCAAGACCAGCAAATGCTGTCATTTGCAGCATTTGAAGCATTCCAAGGCCGGCAAATGCTGTAATTACAAATACTGTAATTTACAGCATTTGACACGTGCCAAGACTAACGAATGCTGTAATTTACAGCAGTTGAGGCGTTCGAAGGCCAAAAAGGAGCGAGCCACACCTTTGCAAAAAAAATGTGCGAGCCACACCTTTGCAAAAAAAATACTCCGCCAACCTGAATGGCTCATCTTGTTCTGAGGTTGTTGCCTGAGTTTACTTCTTGCTGCCAGCTGGCTCAGGCGTATGCAAAAGCAATCACAAGCACATGTGAAGCCAGGCGACGAAGCAATCCACTAATCACGCAAAAACAGACGACAGGCACCAGACATGCGTAGCATCACCCATTCTTCACAACTACAGTGCAGCTACAGTGCAGAACATCGGTAGATGGAATTTTCCTCAAGGTCTCACGCAGGCTCGCGGGAGTCTTGAGAAGCACAAGATCACTCTGTGCACATCTTCGTATCTTTCCTTTCAGGTTCCAAGCGGCTTCGCTCCAAAGCCTTCATCGTCAGCAGCTGATCACTTGAAGTTAGTGACAAGCGTCTTCAACTGTTCCGATTGCAAGGTACAATTGGCCTGCGTGACTGCACTTGCATGGTGTGGCTTTGGCCTTAGCCCAGGGGGTTGGGCCGTTGCAGCCTGCGCATGGCGCATGGCTGCACTCGTGACTCATGACTGCATGCTGAACCAAAAGACAGTTCACACTTGTTCACCATGAAGCGCCAAGGTGGGGAACTTGCATTCGGGAGGCCAGGGATGCACAGCAGAGCTGAAGCCGAGATAGGCCGAGTATGCATGCGATGGAGTTGGAAGGCGAAAGGTGCATGAGGAGCCAGCACCTGCACCTCCCCCGCCTCCACCAGCAGCTCCGGTTCCCCGACAGATTGTCGTGGCAGGTTGCTGTGTTGCAGGACTGCGTGTATGCAGCGTTTTGAATTGACTTGTCTTCCTGCCATCTCCTGCCAGCGTGAGGAGTGCTGCTGCTAGTAAGCTTGCGGTGCTGTGCATGGCCCTCGGATGCCCTCAACATGCTCGTGCCCATTGACAGCTGATGCAGGCCAGGCAAAGAACCAGCCTCCGGCGACCTTACCGAATTCCGGATCGCCCACAACTGCCGGAAGTGCCACGAAGTAGTTCGCTGATGTTGGTTTCTCGCAAGGACTTCGAAGCTGGAGCCAAGAAAACCTTGGCAGCAGACGCGGAGGCAAGGAATAAAGCTCCGCACGCAGCCTCACAAGACCTAAATGGCGACATGGCAGTCTGACCAGGCAGAGTTCCGGAGAGTGGTGAAGTTCCTGCAGGCCGAAAGCGCTGTGTTTGATGAGACTTATATTGCTGATATCAAGTCGATGGTGCCCGCCACGTTTTTGTTTGTCAGAGTAAGTAAGTCTTTACGCTTTATACGTTCTTTGTGGGATGGCTGCAAGGCTTCGTGGAGCCCGCTCATTGCTCATTCAAGTCTTAGCATAATCCATCACCTCTGCTTACGAGGATGAGGTGCTCGTTCCCATCGATGTTCGGCTTCCAGGTCGCCCATTTGAGTGCCCAAGATGTGCGTGATGAAGCTAGATTCGAAATGAAGCGTGGCACGGGCAGTCCAGAAGACCAATTATTCCCAAATCTAAAGCTTGCCCTGGTCGGGGTCCGAAGGAAACGAATTCTTGGCAGGTACGACATGCACTCGTTCCCTTTCACACCCATGGTCCGGCCAGTCTTGCCTCTGCACAGACTGCAAGAACACGAGATTTTCTCAGGTCCTGGTCATTGGCAACCACTCGTCGGGCAAGTCCACATTTATCAACAAGCTCCTGGGGAAGGAGGCTCATCCTGCCAAAAGCAGTCTGTTACTGTTGGCAAGGGTCGTTAAACGGCGCCAGGTGCAAGATACGGGGGTCGCACCTACAGATGACGGATTCACCATCCTGGAGAGACGGACGGTCACCGAAACTGAGGCACCTGCCAACATTGTTGATCTCACTTCATGGTGCCTTGCCAACAGCTTCGAGGATGGTCCAACTGTTCTTGGGTGTCCTGAGAATCGTCCTTACGCAGAGCCCTTGCCTTGACCTATCAGTGCCAAGCTGATTGTACGTAACAGTAGAAATCCATATTTAGAGTCAAGACCTTTGCGCGAATCTGGCACACTGCCAGTCGTCAATGCATTTGAGGCTGCAGCGCTTTGGTCAAACCTTGGCAGGCGTCCTGCGAAGGACATCTAAGCATGGGCATGCAGACATGTGAAGTCTACAGCGGTGGAGCGGGGAGCACCACTATCACATAGTATCACCAGTTCTTAGCTCCTGAGTAATCAGGCTTTCGAAGAAAACGGGTCAGAATGGAGATGCTAAGACGCTGCATGTGTGAAAAAACACTCCAGGGACCACCCCGACCCGACAAAGAAGCAATTTTGCTTTCAAGCAATGCCGCATGGCGGCTTCATGGTGGCTTGCCAGGAAGCGATTATTGCTGCCGCAGAATTCACAGTTCCCATTCGGCTTGCAGATTGTGGATTCGCCCAGGGCCTTGCCATGCCTTGTCACAGACTTCCCTCGAGTGCGCAGTTTCCCCGCTGTAATTCTCTTGAAGTAGTCGAGGCCTGGCATGATTGACCTGCCTGTCAATGAGAAGGCTACGCCACTTGGACGGCAGAGTGAGTCGGCCAGTTTTGACCATTTTCAACCCTGAACGACTCTGACATGACAGAGCACATTGGACAGCTCTCACACCCCTCAGGAGCGAATCCAAAGGCCGCGGATACAACTTCGTAGAGGCCGATTCGCCTTGCAAAGTGTTCTCATCAGAATCATCTAACATAGTCGACGGTTCATTTGAGGTGGTGCGCTGGTGGGCAAAGAGGGCAGACCTTATCTTGCTACTGTTTGACCCGGACAAACCAGGGCAGGGACCTTGCAAAGCAGTATAGGATGATATAGAATGACATAGGGCATTATGTTCATGATGCTGATCGTGGCACCGAGGACAACTGGGGAAACCTTGCAGGTGTTGACGAAGTCCTTGTCAGGTTTGCGGCTCCTTTGCAAGAAGAACCCAGGTTGTCAGTCATTGCACAAGGCCTGCTTTTACGATCATTTGTGATTCACCCTTTCTCTGGAAGAACGAGTTGCTGTGTTGATGTGTTGTTGCAGCCCGTCATGATTTGCGGTACCGAACATTATGTTGCAGTTTCTTCTCTATCTGTAACTTCCTCGTTCTTGATTGCATGAGGTAAGCAATCAATATCATGGATGGCTGTCTAAATACCACAAGAGCAATTTTAGAGTAGGATTCGTTTGCTGGGCTAATGCCTGAGAACAGCCGGAAGCGAGCATCAACCCTGTTCGGCCTTATCTGAATCTGCGTAACTCTGAAAACCCTGAATGAATGGGCGGTGCATTTCCAATGACATGCTATGTGCTTCCTATCACCAATACTTTGCGGTTCTAAGCTTCTCAACATTCGAATGCATCAAAGTAATGCATCTACATGTCGGAAAACTCTACGTCTTCTTCTCCCTGCTACCTTAATCCCAAATCGCCATGACCAGCGAACAGCTAGCATTAGTATCACTCATCTGTGGCGCTTGCTAGATAGCACTTCATGCTTCTTGAGGTAGTACCCTAAAATCTGCAATTCTGCAATTGCAAACTGCAATAGCTCTGTCTCTTGCTGGCGCCGATGACAATTGGTTCCAAGTTGTTTGATAGATTGTCTGTGTGCGCGTTGTAACATTAAGCGTAACAGGTGGCATTCAGCAGCCGCTCGTTTGCTCGGTGCGCAAGACCCGCATTTGCGAGACAAATCGTCCAGGGCGACACTGCGGCCCAAAGACAGGGCGATGGCCAAGATTACGGCCATCATCGAGGGCATACGATGGGCGGGCGCCCGACCGAATCCGCGCGCGTAGCTGCATCAGTCAGGCTGACTCCCACAGCCCATGCGACATGTCCTGTGCGCTGGCCATGCTGTCAGACGTTTCACCTCGGGGCCGGGGGCTGGCGTGAGGGAAGTCATCTACGCCGACGCCAAGAAGCGCTGGGAAGCGTGGCTTGCAGCGTTTAGGCCGCGCTATATCCAATCAAGTGAATTGCAGTGCACTTTCTAGGGTCTGACAAATGACCAGCATGCTTCCCTCTGGTGACTAATTAGTCTTCAAGTAAATTCAAGTAATTTAGTTAGAGACACAATACTTGAGATCAATCTCAGAATTGGGTGCCGGACTCTGGCCGTAGAAGGTTCATGAAGGGGGATGGCTTTGTGGAAGGATTGCGGAAACTGGTGTGAAAGTGTTCCGTGAGTGAAAGATGCATAGCGGAAGCGAAGATGTTCGCGGAAGGTTTGCGGAAGCAACAAATTGCAGGATGTCAAAAACTTGAGATGCTCTGGGTCGCGGATGGACGCGTAAATGGTTCGCAGAAGGGTTTCGTGGAAGGGTTTCTTACGTCTTCAGCATGAATACTTAGGATACTAAAGCCACTGCTCAAATGCGCAGTTGTGGAGCCTTGCCACTTCTTGTATTGTTGAGTGCACGGAATGGGCTGCAAATACGTCTAAGCTTTGCCTGCTGTTCTGGTGGCCAGATAGCAGATGTGCGGCAATTTGGGATGTGCAGAAAGGATGGACGTCGCAACGATTTGAAACTTGATGCTGCTGGGAGACCCTGCGCCCAGCCAGGGTTCGAAAGGTTGAAGGTGGGGCGAAAGGGGAACTGCGTGCGAGCCACAGCAGCTTTGCCCAGCTATTCATCGCACTTCATCGCAAGCAGGTTTTTGGGGGACGGGCCACCGGGCTTCTTTGAATTCAGTGGTTTCTTGAATCATCTTTGCAGATTGGTCTTCCCATGTCTCACCCATTACCTTGTGAGAATGCTCCATATGAGGAACCACAAGTTCCTGGTAATCCTGAACAAGGCCATTGATTCATGTCGCAGAGCCTTTAGAGTTTTGGAAGGCACTGAAGTGGCCAGGTTGATAAGCTGGACAACAGTGTTGACTTTGCGCGAGCCTACGGCGCTTTGGGCTGGGCACTGTCCAAGGTCATCAAGCGCAAGGCAGGAGTTGTGACCTGTTCGGCAGGGATTGGCGCTGTGCATTTCTACAGGACATCCCGGCTATCTACACGATGTTCAATGAGGGCATGGAGTCGACTACAGGTCATCGCCTTTACACTGCAACGAGCTCAGTTGCACCGTGCAAGCCAAGCCTCCAACTTGCCAGGACGTGAAGGTCTTCCCCTAGAGCGTTTCGTTAAGAAACGTGAGGAGGCATAGTAGGGGTGACTGTTGGCAGGAGAATATACGCAGTGGTCGATGGTGAAGTCGCAAACCCGCTTGAGAGGTCATCCTGGAGGTGCTCAGAGTGCGGGAGCGACACAACGACAATATCATCACATCCCTGGAGGTCAGTGTCCATCAAAAAGTATCCTTGGTTGTGCCTGCAGCTTCATGCTCCCTGCTAGACGGGCAGTGCGCAGGAGACTATGCGACAGATGCAGATGCTGGTTGGGGTGGTCCATCGTCTGCGCCAAAAAGCGAGCGATCGCTATTGGAGGCTTAAGGCGCATAGGGCTGTCTTGCCGTTCGCAGAGGAGATCATCAGTGGTTGCCCCCGTCTTACGCAGGTTTGGGCAATTTTCAGTGCGCTGGTGCCTGCAACGCCCTGAAAGGTTTGGAGGCAGTGCAGCACACCAACAACTGCTTATGCAACACCGAGGCTATTGGGATCTATAAGATCATGCAATTGGTGGCCGTCCAAGTGATTTGCGTGTGGTGCGGCCAGGGGGTGTAGGGGCATGTCCTGGCGGAAAGATCACCCAGTGCGCTGCTGGTTCACTAGAGACAGCTTGTAGTGAAAGCTCCTCAACTATTTGGGCTGAAGCTTAGACTAGACGAGGGAGATGTCAAACCCAAAAGCGTAAGAGCGCTGAGGCAGCAAACAGCATGAGAATGGCAGCCGAGATGGCCGCCGCAGACCTCGCAGCGTCAGCAGTGGAAGAACCCCCAAGCCTTTAGTCAGCACTCATCAAGTGATCAATGATCATGCTCTTTCGGTCCCCACTCCCCAAGGTCAACATCGTTGGGGTGGGCGACCCAGTGTGTTCTGGGCCATTTGGAATCGCCTTTAGAGGATCCGTTTGGCTCTGAGGTCCTCCCAGAACCTTCCTACTCGAAGCTGTACATAGAACACCCCAGTAGCAACGACTGTTTCCGGTCCATCCCACAAGCCTTCAACTATTGCTGCAAGCCATCAAATCCGCCTTGAAGATGCGAGTGGCGGCCCACACTGGAAAGGGTTGCTTACCGTCAACAAGTCCCTGGAGGCAACCTAAAGTTTTGTAATTGATCTCGGAGTACAGAGTGAGACTTACCTGGTCGAACGCCGGTTTCCTGCAATCTGCGCCTATCTAGCCTATTGTGAGACGGAAAAAAACCTGCTGCAGGGCGTGAGCTTGGCATGCTGTCCGAGATTCAGTCTTAGTGTACATGTGAGTAAACCTGACTCAGGTCTGCACGAACGACCATGTTCGAGTCGAGAGCAAGATGGTGATCATGTCTCATAAGCTGGAAAACATTTGGTTTCTTCGCGTTCGCGTCGCCAGCTCCTCGCATCGCTCAGAACGATCGCTTCGTCTTCTCACCTCCTCTTCGAACAATATCTTCTTATTTCGGCGGGCGACGGCATCCTAATAACATTATCACTTAGACTCATGCCCAACCAAACATGTGGGGTTCTCCGGTCCTTTAACTTTTTTTTTGAGAATAGGAATTTCCTGCATTGCCAGCATCGGACAGGTATTCTCGCGTGCTGAGTAGTTCTTGATTGCTATCTAAACCTGTTTTTGCAAGCTCGTTTTTCTGGCGAGTGGTGCCCTATGTTTGGCTGCCGGCTGCACTTTTGCAAACCGGCATGCTTTAACACTGGGAGCCCTGGCAAGTTGCGTGTGTTCACTTCAGTCCATTGCCCTATCGCACAGCAGCTTCAGCTACAGAAGCTTGCTGCCCTATTCTCGGAGATCATCTAAGCCCTTCATCAAATGAGGATTCAGTTTTCAGATCGGCTGTCTGTCTCATCACATGCAGCAACAGAAGCCCTCGCGGCCACAATGGTCCTCAAATACATCTGCCATTTTTGCATTAGCCTGACTTCTGAAACGCCTGCTGCCTTTTGTGAAGACATGTGAGAACAAGTGCTTACCATGTGGCTGCTCGCGCGGGGCCATCCGCGAGTTCTTGGTTTCGCGCGGAGGAACAGCGACCCCGTGAGTACATTCCGCTTCATGTATGAGAATGCCGTGATTGTGTCAACTTTGTGGGTTTGTTTACCTGTGGGTGCACGCGCATTCATACAGGGTAGACTTGCCAGCAAGGGCCAGCTCAGAGGCAGCAATGAAAGTTTGACCCATGCGCTGTGTTAGCACTCTGTTGCCAGGATGACTGTGGTGCCTTTTTTTGAAGAGGCTTTCTGCGGCGTGCTGAGACTCCGACGCCAGCCCCAGAACCTGTAGGCAGTGCCTGCAGAAAAAATGAAAGACCTGCATATTGGGAGAAGACTTGGCAGCCTAAGTAAGTGGACAGGCTCTGCCGAAGAGCAGCCATCTCAGACACTCGTGCTCAGACGGATCAAAGCTCATGGCACACTGCTCGCATCTCAACACGTTTTGGTCGTAGTTGAGGTTCCATCCCTTTGGTTCCTGGGTGTACATCACAGTCTTGAGCTCAAGCACTGTTCTCTTGTTATCTGGGCTGATCTTTGATGGTTGCTGACATGTTTGCAGTTTAGATGTACCAGCCCGCCCAAGGTGTCTGTCGTGTACACGCTTTTCTTTGCTGGGGCCTGCCCCTCGCAGTCACTGCTCGTTTGAGGGAGCTGTGAACTCCACGCTCATGTGTTGTCAAGGTCCTGAAGATGCTGTGGGAAAGCTTCAGCCAGTGACCAAATCCTTGTTATCGTTTTTCTTATGAAGTCAATGTTGCCGGCTTCTGCAACGTTGGCAAGATCTGAGACTAAGGAAACGCAATGTCTAATGCTTCTCAGAGATTAAGAAGATAACGTGAATCCAACACTCAAAGAATGCAAAATGCGCCGTGTGTTTTATTCCCATGCAGCTTGCTGCAGGACTGTATGTGCTCACGATGTTTCCGAAGAATCGCTGCACCGCTACACTCTGCGATAGAATGCCCCTGTCCTCTCAGGAGCCCGGCAGACTGACGCACCGCGTTGCGGAACGGCGAACCTTGTCTCACTTCCTAATCTCTTGTCCACCTTCACAAAGGTCTCCTCGTCTCTTCCTGTCTTCTTTCTTCTCTGGAGCCCGGGAACCAGATGGTGCGAAGCTTGCCGGTGCAGAAGTGCGGCACTCTTCTCCCTTCATAATCCCGTCTTGTCCCTCTTCATTTTATCCTTATCCTCCCTCTTGTGTGTGTGTGTCTTCCCACCACGTCGTCCGGGAACTGATCGTGTGCTGCCAAATTGCAACCTTTGTCTCCCTGCTAGCTCCCTGCTTGTTTTCTTATCCCCCTTTAGAACCGATGCGACGAACAGCATTTCAACTCTGGCTAAGGTACATGACAACATGCTTCGGGGTGGGATGTAGGACCTCTGCAAGGGTTAATTTGCCCAGGCATGCTACAGTGGAACGTGCTAAAACAAGTCTATGTCCGTGTCTGACTCATGCCGCTGACTGACATCACTGATTTGTCGAAATCAGGCCTGTCCTTGAATACACTGTCTACGCTTGATCCATAGACAAGCGGCCGACACTCTGAGTGTAGAATGACGGGCTGATGCCGTGACTTACAGATTCATCTGTAGCCGCAGACTAGTCAACAGAACCGTGGCAGGAGAAGTCACGAAAGCTAGCTCTCTTTAAGCTTGCGGTAGTTCTCGTTCACAGATTGGCCAGGTCGGTGAAAATGTGGCTCCGGGTCAATCTTGAAGGTGTTTACTCAGTTCTTAAGGTCTGCCGGGGGGGCACTCCTCCACCCCTTTTAACGATAGATTCAACAGTTGCTCGGCGCCTCAGCCCTGTAAAAGAATGGCTTGTTCTCTTCCTTCTGCCGCTTCCCTAGCTGTTGTGGCCCACGTAAGGCCTGATTTCAGGGCTGGCTCTGTGTTTCTGGAGATGAACATAGCGCAGTCAGGTGAAGTCTTTCACAGCAAGGGTATCCTCATTGACCTCCGCTGATCCTGCTTTTCCTCTGCCCCAAGAGTCCATGAGTGGTCCATGATGGCTAATGCGCAGCCGGTGGGCTGGAGCAGAGACAGGCTGCAGAAGACATGAAAAGGTTGCCTACCGGTCAGTGTGAGCAGGGTGTGAAGCAGTCCGTCCAGGTACCAGAAAGAGCTCTACGTGACCCTGGATGCAACGTTTGATGAGGTCCGAGGACGATGCCAACATGAGATGGTGTCGGCACACCGCGCTGGGTCATGGAAGTATAAAGATGTCATGCGCTGCCAGCATCCATTTGCTTGCTGCCTGCGGACCACGGTAAGATAACCATGTTCATCTTATCTGCGATGAATGTCTGAAACATTGGCCAGGTTTTCTACGATAAGTTCATACATGACGAGGGTGAGGACACGCCTGACACTTGTTTCTCTGGCTGTCTTGCTCCACGGGTGAGAATATCAGGACCTCCGCTCGAGATGGAACGTCGTGCGGCCAAAGGTGCAGTCGATCCTCCAGGTTAGCCGTGCTCTGTAGACAAGAAGGGACGCCAAGCAGAGGCTGAGTTGTGAAACGCGGTGAAGGCAACTCGTTTCTATCCCTTGCTTCCTCTGGTGGCGGGCTGGGAGATGCAGAGGCCAAGGGGCCCAGACCAATAAAGCCAATGTTTTCAAAGCCATTTGCCCAAAAAAAGATATCGTTTGTTCAAGTCTCCAAGGATATCTGAAGCTCTGCAAACAGATGTGTGGTACCTGCGTCAACTTGCCCGCCAGCTTCGCCCCTGGTGCATCAAGCTAAAAGATAAGCAGATAGAGCTACATTCGCTAACCATACTGAGATGGACGCTACTTGACCATTGGTCCGGTAGTGGACGAGGGATGATCATGGTAAAGGGCTGTGGAAACAGATATCCGATCTTCGTGGAGGTTGATACGGGATGATGCAGGGCATGGGTGTGGTGGGATGCAGCTGAAGAAGCTTGCAAATCGCACCTGCTAGAAAACTACGGCAAGTCTGCAACCGCTGAGGTTGAGACAGCCGCCTAGCCCGTCCACCCCAACTCGAGGGAATTCGCAGCAAGGGCCTTGCTCTTAATGCGTGATGAAGACACTGTATTTGCAGCATCACATCATCAAGATCTGTACCCAGGCCATTCATATGAACGTCTCTCGGCGGATCTCTCTGGTAAGCATTCGATTAGTAGCTGCCGACCGCGGTACATATCTTACCACACTGCAATGGGCGATGAGCCAGTATGACAATGGATGCGCCAGAGCTGGATGCTATCACCCTTCTCCAAGCATATCCGGCTCGTCAACCCTCGCAGGCCCTAGCACGTCTCAACCTCCGTAGATAGGGCAGTCCAAAGCGCGCAGAGCTGCGCAGAGCTTTGCAACTGCTGTGTACACATGTCCTCACCATTGCTTAAGGAACTCATTCAATACAACTGCTTGTGTCAGAGGCTTCTGCAGATACATTGCATTCTCATTATCGCAATGATGCAATGGTGAGAGAGAGGTTGCCCAGGCTAGTGCAATCCAACACTATGCTTGCATGGTAACATGGATTAAAATTGTGCAATGCTGCTTGCCTGTGTCCAGTTTGCTACTACGGCTAGGGACCAGCTGGAAAGCTAGTTTCAAACAGGCTCGCCTGGTGGTTCTGCTTCCGGGCTCGGGATGTCGAAGGCCGGAGACACTGGAAGGTGTTGGAGCTCCGCGATCGTTTGCAGCGCAGGCAGCAAGACAACATGCAGCTGCCTGGGAGGTGCATGATGGCGCATAGTTCAAAGCAGCTGGGGAAAGTTGGCGTCCTGTCAGGGCATCGATCCATTTGGAGGGTCAA